CGCTCTCTCGCTCTCTCGCTCTCTCGCTCTCTCGCTCTCTCGCTCTCTCGCTCTCTCGCTCTCTCGCTCTCTCTCGCTCTCTCGTCGCTCTCGCTCTTTCGCTCTCTCTTGCTCTCACACTCTCACACACTCTCTCGCCCTCGCTCTCGCAGATACACGGCGCGCACGCACATGTTAACCCTCGCCCATGTAGGGGGGGTTGGTGCAACCCCCCCCCCCCCCTGAGGTTTTTCGGAAATAGTGCAAAAACGGCGGCGCGCAGCGCCGCCAAATTTTGGGTACCTTATGGGCAAACCTTGCGCATCTTTTGATAAAAAAATTTGACCGGGTCATGTCAGGTCACGGAGTTATGACGTCACAAAGGGAACAGCCTCCGGCCGGATTTTCACAAACTGAGTGCCAACGCCCGAGGTTTCCTGCCGGTGGTACGGACATCGGTTTGGATCGTGATGAAACTTCCCATGCATGTTGGGGCAAGTATTGGCTATCATATGGTATGAGAAACTTGACCGGGTCAGGTCAGGTCACGGAGCTATGTCGTCACAAGAGGAACAGCGTCCGGTACTATTTTTGAAAAGCGCCCGAACCACTATTTTGCTAATTCTTGTCACCTCAATGGGAATATGCAGCAATATTAGTTTCTATAGGGAGCAAATGGACCTCCCAAATCCAAAAATACAATCAGATTTCAAAAATTTAAATTTTGATTTTTCGAATTTATGCCGCCGACTGTGACCTTGCCGACTTCCGGCGCTCCCAACGCGCCATTTTTAGAGCTAGGGAAACGAAATACATACCAAACGATAGAGAATTGATCAAGGAACACGATAGTGAAGGTTTCAAGTCGATATCTCCCACCGTTTTGCCGCAATCGCCGCGGAAAGTTGAAAAAAGTCTATTTTTCCGAAAATTTGACCTTTGACCGGTCAAAAGTAGGTCAAATGTTGACCTAGGACCAAAAAATATACCACCAATCGCGAGATCTCGGCGAGAGCAATCCGTTGGTCTTTTCCGCTAAGCTCTACGACGCTCCGTTTTCAAACGCCAAGGGGGGGGGGGGGGTCGCACCAACCCCCCCCCCCCTGCATGGGCGAAGGTGGCAGATCGCCGTTTACGGGCGAGGGTTAAATTATTCCACAATGTTTCCAGATCTGGTACGAGCTGGAGAGGATCAGCGGCGGACAGGGTTCCCGTCTTCAGGAATACCGGAAGCGATTGTGCGACTTCCTCACCGCTGTGCAGATGCACACTGAGTGCGAAGGTGAGACAACATATGCACATGGTTAAACATGCCTCTTTTCAGGGTTAACTGTCTTCATTAGATTTACATTTGAGTGAAGGTTAGCCGTATGTTGAATGGCCGAAATATGAAAAGTATAGGTACCAAAAATAAATGTATTTCAAGGACATCTCTTCTACGGTTCAATCAACATACGCTTATCTTCCACTCATTGATCCCACTATGCTCTTCATTCATGATTGTACTTTTTCATTTCATTATAGGCCTTTATACCTACCTTTGACGAGCCGCTCGATCGGCAGGCGCGGGTAGAAGCAACGCAGATTTTTCATGTCTTTTAGCCTCGGTAGGCGGCATGAATAATTTAGTAATGAATGATCCATCCACTTCTTCTAGTTCGGAAATAATGAGATAACCATTCGTTTTGCCATGCGCCGAACCCTCACATTTCACACCAAGGTATTGTTTGCAAGGTTGGGAACTAAAAGTAACTGCCGTTTGTTTCAGATGATGACAAGGTGGATTCGCTACTGGAATATCTCCTGGTGGACCCAGAGGAGATATTCGGGTCCGCTGGCAGCCAAACGATGCCGCACTTCGAGGAGAGCCCGAATGGTTCTCTGACACTGGTTGTCGAGGGCCAGCGGGTGGTCGAGGACGTGGAAATGACGCGCAGCGATGCCCTTCTGCTGTGGGCGGCGTCCTTCCCAGTGTATAACCAAAAGCCGCCCACAAAAACCGCAAAAAATGCACTCGCATTCCTGTCTGAGCAGGTTTTTGAGAAGGCCCGGGGCAGCGTGGTGGTTGGAAACCGCGCCCTGAAGCGTATTCAGCAGATCAAACAACTGACTGAATAAGCCCCTCACACACACACACACGACATCCTTTGATACAGTGCGTCTCAGAATGTTTACGTCGTCCGTGTTGTTTTGAATGTTTACGTGACGATGTTGTTCAGTTCCTGGTGGACACCTGTCCTGGCAAGGCGGCGTTCGTTTGTATTTGCAGCTCAGAATGTGTGCTATAGTCCATGGGTGAAACTTTGACATCACCATTGGGGTCCCAAACGTCCAAGGGGGCCTCCATTTAGTGGGGGCCTCCAAGCAATTAGGGGCCTCCAATTGCGGAAGCGGTAATTTACGAACCACGCCAGGGCCTCCTCTAAGAAATTTTCATTGGGGGACCAGAGGCTCAGAAGCCAAACCTGGGGTACCCCCAAATCCAGTTTTCTCATCGGATTTAGGCCACTTATTTTTCATCACAGCTCTGATGCCATGACTTTTTTTTTAATATTGATAAAGAAATGGTAGGTCACCTGACCCTACTGGTGGATTCAGGCCAGCAGGGTGACATTGTATGTAAATATCCCCCGCGGCATCCGAAATCGACGAAAATTTCTGGCTTTTTCTCTTTTGACAATAAAACACAATGCCTTTATTATAGAAAAAAAAAAATTAACGGCACAGCATTGCGCAAGGAATCTAGCCGTAAGCCGACCCCAGAAAGTGTGAGGGTTAACCTTCGCCCGCACCTGGGGGGAGGGTCGCCACCCCCAAGTTAGTTTTTCTGTTCTACACTTAACCCGCGCCCCGTAGGGCTACCGGCGGACCCTACCACCCGTAGGGGGGGGGGGGGCCGTTTCGCCCCCCCCCCCTAAGATCTCGGAAAGTTACCGGCCGATTTTCAAAATTCAAACGGCGTTCGATAGCCCCACCCGGGAACTACCTTGTGACCAAATTTCATTGACCTAGGTCAAACCGATGACGTCACAGGTCAGGTCAAAGGTCAGATTTTCACCGTTCACAGGCATTTCAAGAAATGTGTTGTGAAATCGAGTTAATTGGTAATTTATTGAAAACCATCGATGGTACATTGTTCGTCAAACACATACTTTGCTATCTGAGGTCACTGATACCAGGTCAGGTCACAGCGAGGTCAGGTCACCGGGGTCACAATATGAAAGTGTCGTGTGATACATGTTTTATGGTCCATTTTACATGACAAATGCGATTATGTGGGTTAGGCAGCCTTTGGGGCCAGCCTAGGTCACGTTTTGGTGAAGGTCAGGTCAAGGTCAGGTCAAATAAGGTCAAATTTCAAAGTTGATATTTTTGCATAAAATGGGTATCGATTCGATGCAGCTCGTCACGGGGAGTCTAATGGTGGTCTTTGTTTTGCTCTACGAGGTCTAGAACTGCCAAAAATTGAGTTTGAAAATTTGACGTCATCAATTTTGAACAGTTTTTTCGCTATAACTTGGCCAAAAAACGAGGTATCGATCTGAAATTCGGTATGTAGATAGAAGACGGTAGGTACTATCACATATATTCCGGTTTTTTTGAAACTCAAAAAACTTTTTGGATTTTTTGGCTAATATATCCAAAAAAATGTTTTTTTTTATTTTTGGGGTTCAAAACTCAAAAATTTCAAAAATCCGAGATAGCAGTTTTGTAGCCCTGTCAATTCTACACCTTTTATGTCTTGATCATTTTTCTGTATCTTCAAAGCTGTAGGCCTGACAGGTCTTCTCGCGAAGGTCTTTTTTCGGTCAAAAATGACAGAACATGACGTCATTCTGACGTCATTTGTGGCCAACCTATCATAGCCTCTGGAAAAATTTTTGGTCACAATGTGTAAAATTGATGCCCGGAGGGGTCCTGAAAGTTTGGTGGCGATATCTGAAGCGGTTTAGGAGATATTGACCGAAAAGGACAGGGGGGGCCGTTTCGGCCCCCCCCCTACGGGGCGCGGGTTAACATTTTTAAAGCTAGAAACCTGATTTTTTTGTATAGCTGCTTTTCTATCTTTTCTCAGCGTCCATTGAAAATTTCAAGTTTCTGTGGCTTTTGGGTTTGAAGATATGACCTTGTTCTTCAGGTCATGTCATGTCCTAAATGACGAATACCCAATATCTTGCGATGGCTATGGGCCTTGTGAGCTTTTGACACGCTGATTTCGGCTTTTTTTGCCAGTCTTACCTCCCACCTATCATTGAACATGTTGTTCTGCGATGTACAGATGTCAGGGTCAGGGTCAAGGTCAACCTAGTTCATCTAAAATTATTGCGCTTTAGGCAAGCTGAATTTACTTTTCGTGAAATTTCTTTGACTGTATGTTTAGTAAAAGCTTCTCAGTTCATGATCAAGTGTAACAGGGACACACAAACCGATCTGTGCACACATCAGTACATACACAGACATACACAGACATACAAACACATATCATTGACCTTGACCTAACTTGACGTGAAATGACCACAGCCAGCAAATTAGTCGGATAGTGTGACAAAGAGCTGTTCTAGCTGGCTTGGCACTAATACGGCAGCGTCATCGGTATATGATGGGTTGGCCTGCTGCTTGTGTAGGTATCTTATTCTACATCACCACAATTTTTTCTTACAAGATTTTATGCCTTGCGGTCAAGAGCAACAGATTCTTTGGGAAGAGACGAATCCAATGATACCAATTTTACCTCATCAGGTCAGTCATTGACCTTCCAGGTCAGGTCAAACTAAAGAATGTTGCTGTTTGGGGTCACCGTTGCCCGTTGGAATATAACGTGCGCTGCTCATCATATACCGATGACGCTGCCGTATTGTGGTGCCAAGCCAGCTAGAACCTCTTTGTCACACTATCCGACTACGTTTTTGCTGGCTGTGGTCATTTCAGGTCAAGTTAGCTCAAGGTCAATGACATGTGTTTGTATGTCTGTGTGTGTCTGTGTGTATACTGATGTGCGCACCGATTGTGAATGTGTCCATATTACATGAGATCATGAACTGAGAAGCTTTTACCAAAAATACAGTCAAAGAAACTTCACGAAAGTAAATTCAGCTTGCCTAAAACGTAATATTTTTAGACGACCTAGGTTGACCTTGACCCTGGCATCTCTACATCATTGAACAACATGTTCCATGATAGGTGGGAGGTAAGACTGACAAAAAAGGCCGAAATCAAGGTGTCAAAAGCTCACAAGACCCAACGCCAACGCAAGATATTGGGTATTTGTCATTTGGGTTATGACATTAGGGGAAGCGGGGGGAGCACCGCCACCTTAAGCATTTCTGCTCACCGAGCTGATATGCGTAGTAAAAACGAAGCTCTTTTGCATTCATGTGAAAGTAGGAATGTTTTCCTACATGTTGGCATAGTTTCCAGCGCTCCATTATAAAATTTCGCTACTTTACAGACGTCGAAAACAAGTCCTGCATTTTTCGTCCTCCAAAAAATGTGCGGGTAGCACCGCCACTGATGGCGATGTTATCCACAGATCGGCCTTACGGTGACAGCCACCCTTGGAAGCGTTACTGCTGTCTGAAAAAGTAACTCAAACTCATATAAGACACACAAGAATTGGTTGTTAGTTTGTCACAGATCAGACTGTTTGTTGCAGACAATATGCATACAAAGCCTGGCAAATTCACGTTTATTTCGAAACATCCAGTGAAGTCGAACGTGAGGTTAAAAAACAGACGACGTTTGCGGCCTAACTAAAGCTCTTCTCCGAGCTGAGTGAGTCATCATTGCGGCTTTATCCATTTTGCCACCCCTTGGGGTAGCACCGCCGAGCATGGCGGTGTTACCCCTCTCACAGTCATGGACCGACAACGCCCCGACAGCAAAACAAGCCGGGACGCGATTCTTCTGTAATTCCTTTCTCAACAAAGAGCACTTCATGCCCTCAAATTTAACCCATTTACGCCCTTCGTTGCGTTTTCGCAACGCAAGCAAGCGTCGACGTGATCGAAGCTTGAGAAGTGTGTAAAAGAGACTAACCGATGAGACAAGTTTCAGCGTGTGTAGCATGGTTGTGCGCATGATACTACGCAGTTACAAGTCTGTGCGGCCAGTAAGTTACTGCCTAGAGCTCCCAGAGGGAAGTCGAAGGTTTTGTGAGTGATGACGTCACGAAAACCAAGATAAGTAGGCTAAGTGCTTAATAATATCGTAATGAAAATTGTGTAAACATATTCTGCAGAGTCCCTACAATAGCGTAGATATGCATTTTGTTAAGAAATAATGCTACAAAAAGGGTTTGTGACTATTTTCAAATATGACTACGGTCGCGTTGCGGGAACGCAACGAAGGGCACATCGGAAAGACAGCGGTGTTGCGAAAACGCAACGATGGGCACATTGGCAGGGTAGCGGAAGTATGAATATCAACAGTAGACTGCACTCGTGATACGCTGTGGGTTCTCTCTTTCTCTCCCCCATCTTCCTCCCTCTCCTCCTCGTTCCCCAACTCTCTCCCCTCTCTCTCTCTCTCTCTCTCTCTCTCTCTTTCTCTCTCTCTTTCTTTCTCTCTCTCATTTTGTAGCCATGAGGCTGTAGCGGCGGAACATCTTCAATTAAGGGGGGGGAGCACTGCTGACTTTTGGTCTCATTCTTTCCATTTCCATTTCCATGCAACGCCTATCGGGATAATGTTAAAATGGCAAAATCAAGGGGGGCACGGTGCCCCGGTGCCCCCTCCCCCCGCTCCGCCGCCTATGCCATGAGGGACGTATATACACTGAGAAAAATCCTGACTCCGCATGACACCCCCAGGGGGAGTTCACCAAAACGACACCCCAAAACTCCCAGGTGGTACTCCTCATTACACCCCCTCCAAAACTCTCCATTACACCCCAAAACTTCCCTCGAGAAACTCTCTGTAACTCTTCCTACCGTTTTAGAAAACTCTTCATAACTCTTCTTTACCCTATCAAAACAAACAACATACTCCCTGAAACTCCCTTCCATTACTCTCAATGACTCTCCTACTGCCTCATAATTACTCCCGATTACTCCATTCCATTATTCCCCAAAACTCCGTTTACATCTTCATGGTATACCTCTTGTTACTCCCCATCAAACTCACCCAAACTTCCCATCAC